GCTTTTGCAGAACCGCCTGCCGGGGCTGCACAGGATAGGAGAGGCAGTCAGGTCTCGAAAGGTCTCTGCAGTCACAGGGTCCGTGCTCTGTCCCGAGAAACCCCAGGGCCGGGGCGGTGCTCCAGGGCTTCGACAACATATGAGTGCTGCCGTTAACAATACACAACCATTCTACCACCTCCTGATGCCGGTTTAACACTAAAACCTGCCCAAAATGCATGTGAGTGTCCGATCACCAGCTATTTACCTGCAGAACTCGTCCTCACCCCGCAGCTCAGCACCTTCAGGAAGAGGGGTCTCCACAGGCCTTGGCCAGGTGGATGAGGTGGAAACCACCCGTCTGTTGCTATGTAGCTGGTGACGTGCAGTTGCCGGTGTGGCCCACCAGGCTGTACGCCCCCGTGCAGCTGGCGTGTGCAGGTCGCCGCTGCTTCCACACCCATCAGAAACCCAGCGATACAGTACACGTGCGACAAGCGGTCATTTACAACGGCCACAACCTCAACAGCAAAAATGGCAGTCGACCTACTCAGGAGCCCAGAAGACTGGTCTCCGAGAGCTATTTTCTTAATTTCTCCCAGAACAATATATATATAAATTGTTAAAGCTTCTAAGGTGACAGCGAAAAGAGTATTTGCCATTTACTTTGTGAACTTTAAATATTAAATCAGGCATCCTGCTCGTGCAATAGCACGCTTTTATTCTCTGGAGTAGAGCCTTGAGCAGAAGACGGATCTCATATCCTGCCGTAGGTTTGGGAGAACGGGGCCCCTATCCACGGCGCTGCGTGTCTGATCCCAAGGGCTCTCTCAGACAGATCTTTCAACTCATGACGAGTGCAAGCGACCAATCCGGAGTCTTTTCACGTCCACGTACAGGGGATGATTATCATAGGAGACGTTAGCAATTACTCTCCAGCGTGATGTAAGCTGAGGCAGCAGCGCCAAGCCGGCGTCCTTGTCACACACATTCCGGCCTTCTGGATTACTTCACTCGTGTTGCCCTGATTAGGATGCGCGCTGCGTGCTGCTTCATACAGTCTGCCCTCGAATGCCAAGTACTTCAGAACTAAATCAGGAAATATGTCCAAATACATAGAGTGACGCTAAGAGCCCTAAATGGGTCTCTCTCTCTCTCCTTTATGAGGCACGAGACTCATCATCAACATAATGCTCTTAAATGAGGCAAATCTATCTTCTAACCCTCTACCTCCGAGAGCAAAATTTAATTCAAGCAGCAAAAGAATTAATAAAGATAATAGGGTTATCATGAATACCATTCTCACGGAGGAAGTATTTTTGACAGAGTCGGGAAACGTGAGACATAAAAACAAATCTTAGAGGGATGTTAACAGAGGTGATGCCGATTTTCATACCACAGCACGATGGAGAGGCCAGAATAATCGCCATCACATTTGCTTTCCTTCAGTCACTTGGCAAAGGCTACCTTTCAGGCCACTGATGCCACTGAAGTTATGAGCCTGAGAAGGCGATGTCAAAACTCTGGAGCTCGAAAGTCTGGGGATCCTTGCACAGAGGCAGACGGAGACGTACTGGGTTGCTACTCTCTCTGCACCTTCCCTCCTGGCCTGGAAACAGCTGAACAGCCAGCTGTGTATACAAGCCTTTTCCTTTTCTCTTGTTAATGTTTTTAAAAAGTTTATTTATTCTGAGAGAGTGCGTGAGTGGGAGAGGGGCAGAGAGAGAATCCCATGCAACATGGAGCCTGATGCGGGGCTCAATCTCACGACCGTCAGAGCATGATCTGAGCCGAAATTAAGAGTTGGACACTTGACCAACTAAGCCACCAGAGGCTCCTACAAGCCTCTTCTTAAGACTAAATGCATTTCTGCTGTGTTCCATGTTTCGTTTCCTTAGGAGACTATGTGCATTAGGAGGGCTAGGTTCTTGACAAGTGCCAATTTGTTGAAGTCTCTGCAGAATGCCGTTGTCACACTCCAAAGCAGGAACACAACTGGTGTTCTGTAACTTCCGTGCCGAACACACGTCCGGCTGTCTAACTAGACGGATGTGAATGGATGGATTCGAACCATCATTACTTGATGCTCAGACAGCTGTGCTGCCTCTAAAGTGCTAACGCAATCGTCATATGGAGCAAGGATGTCCTCCAGCTAAACAGAAATAGCACTTCCAGAATACTTCTGCAGGTTGGGGGGTCCTGGTTGCTGACTCAGATCGTGTATCAGCATTCGGAGTTCACTGTCCACTTTGATCACAGTTAATCAATAATGGATTATAGCTAAACCCCAGTTCTGTATCAATATAAACAGAGATAAACCAAACTCTCATAAAGCCTTCATCTGAATCCTAACTAGACAGGCCAGAGGCACAGACATGAACCCCCCTGTGTATACAGCGCCAGGCAAACTCTGTTGGTAATAGTCTCGCATCAACCCAATAAAACATGCTGGGCCACGTGCGGCCGGACCACAGCGCGGGTGTAGCCAAAACACGGTACTCAACAGCGACACTGGGCACCGGACAAGAGACTGTGTGGGAGTTATAATATCACGTTATAGGATAGCAGGAGGACACCGAAACCTCACAGAGCCACCCAAAACGTGCCTTCATTCACACAGAGATGCCACGGGACCGTTTCAATTCCTAAAAATGCAGGGCTTTCTCGGGAAGCAGGCAATCCACTAAACACAATCAGATGGGAAGTGCTGCCTCCTTAGGAAGGAGGGAAGTTACCCAGGGAAAGCTTGGCTTCCCTCACGTTCCAGTGGGCAGTATTCATGTCGGAGAAACAGCTCCACGCAAAGTTATTACCACTCTACGAACAACGACCGGCGACCCGCCCACATGAGCGTTGGAGGGTCTGAGGCCACACTCACAAAACATTCGGATGACTAATGCTACCATCAGATTTTGGAGGGGTTGTTAAACATGCTCTTGTAGCGAATTTACTTCTACTCTTCATTTTAAAGCCCTGATGAAAAGTACCAGGTAACCACTTATTTGAGAGACTGTAAACTTTTAAAACTGCATTTTCACAAAAATCAATGGATTAATCAGCTGATTCTTATAATCAATGCTTTTAACTGGATTAGAAAACCCTAAAGGCATCTGAAACCGCACTTCTCTACCTCAATATCAAAAGCATGCACCCGGTCTAATTTTGAGCTGAACTATCGCTTTATTGGTTTCTCAAATATATCCCCTCATGTAAGTCAAAGAGAAAGAGGACCTGCTTATGAAAAATTTATTAAAACATGACAAATTTCAACCAGGCTAGTGCTAAATGTAACTATCACCTCCCTGCGCCAAGAACATGAGAAAGCAAGGAGATAACCGAAACCTGCAAGTGTGATGGAGGCCAACTTAGGAAGGAAAGAGTCTCTCTTCTCTCAACAAATGAGCTCAATGGGGAAGAGAAAAGCCCATGTTCTCAAAGCCTGAGAAAGGAAACTGCCTCAGGACACCAACCACCCCCCCTACTTCCTGGGAAGGCCCAGCCCCGGACTTCTATCACCACTGAATGTGCTCCAACAGAACAGGCCAACTTGAGCACCAAGGGGCTCCAGTGTCACAGTGAGGTTACAGTAAGCCGCATGTACTTTCTGCCACTTTACGCATCTTCCTCAGTGAAGAAGAGGTCCATGGAATCCAGGAGGCTTCAATTCTTGGCGCGCTTGCTAAGCTGCAAAGCCAGTGAACATCTAGATGAATGAGACCTGGCCTTACGGGGCCTACACGGAGGGGAAACAGTATGTAAAAACCACAGCCAGAGGCCAGACTTCAACTACCAGGGGAGGAAATAAAAAGCGCCGTGATGGTAACACTCACACACCAGGCACTACGCTGAAGGCTTTGCAGACAGGTTTTCATTTAACCCTGTAGTTATACGAAGTAGCCACGGTTCTGAACTCCCTGGGGCATCGAGAGGGTTAAGCACCCTGCTTAAGGTCACACAGGGCAGCAGGTCACTACGGAGTTGGTGCTGAAGCTCAGGCTGTGCGCATCCAGAGTCTGGCTCTGCCCTGCTCCTAGCGCTGCCCTGTGGAGGAGGGCCTCCTTCCTGGAGGAGGAGGGCGCTGACAGGAGCTGCTGGAGCAGGGGAGTGCCTTCCCGAGGGTTGTACCCTTGGGCAGCAAGGTCAAGAGCAGGCAAAGTGGAGAAAAACAAAGCAAAGAAATAAAAAAACGAATCCCTTTCTCCCGATTCCACTGGAAGAGAAATCGTTCTATAAATCAGCTTTAAGTCTAACTACTCGGCCTAGAGTCAGGATAGTAAAATGCTGGGCAGTGATAAAATGTAGTCATCACGGAACGAATTTCAATTAAAAACTTGTTTCCTTAATCCTGGCTCGGGGTTTATCGGAAGGCACTTTTAGGCACTACTGGTGAGAATACAAATTTTGCCGCAACCCTTTTAGAGGGCAATCTGGCAACGTCCGTCGCCATCTTGAGTGCACAAACCTTCTGCCCAGGCAACACGACTGCTAGGAATCTATCCCAGAGATCGACCACACGAGGACTTGCAAAAGTCGCATTACGCACCGCAGCACTGTCTAATCGTCGACACAGTGAAAGCAACCTAAATGCCCACCAGCAAGGGCACTGGACAAATACTTGCTGGAATCCTCATGTGAGGGGGCATAGCACTTGTGGACGTGAAATGCTCTCCAAGGCCTATTACTGAATAAAAACCTTGGGTACAGAACAGTATGTATACTACGATCTCATTTCCACAAAGAGGTTTTTTGGTGGATAAATGTACCTATAAACACATTAAATTTTTCTTGATGGACCTAAAAAATGCTTCACAGTTTCTTCTGTAGAATGGAGCTGGGGGAAGGGAGGAGAAAGGAGACAATCACTTTTCATTTTACTTCCTTTAAAAGTGCTTGAGGTGTTTGTTTTTTTAACCATGCTACCAAAACATACAGTACAGAGAGCCTTAATTTTTTAACTGCCTTCTAAAAAATAAAACTCGATGTTCTATTTTTGTTAATTATGCATCTTACTATTTCTGTACCTTGTTTCCTTCGTATACCCATCCCAGACTCTTCACACCGAAAGCAGCCTGGTTGGCTGAGACATCCAGACATGTGACAGGCTGGCCGTAGACATAATGGAGGGTTCTGGCAGAGTCTTCAGCTTTTAGCAGGTATACCAGATCTCCAGCCGTGGCCACTGCCACAGGATACCTTCCGGTGTCTGGAACGATTTCAAGGTAGTCAACCTGTGAAAAGGGAAGAGTTACACAGTCTGTCAGGTCTCACCTCCAGCTCATCCCTACTTGGTCAAAAACACACGATGCCTCCCATACGTCAATAAGACCAGAGACCTAACAGAAAAAGATGGGCAATGAGACAGTTCACAGGAAAGGGGAACTCAGTTCTTACACTAATAAAAAGATGCCCTTTGTAAAAGAAACACACTACGTTCCTAATAAGAGAAATACGAAGTCAAAATTCACTGAGATACCATTTTTGCCAGTCATAGCAGTAAACAGCCATTAGCTCCATAGGACACTGGTCTGGAAGTAGAGGGGGACAACCACACTTGTGGGTCCCAGGTATGGTTAGGGGGATGCAAGCTGGCCCAACTCCTCTAGACGGAAATCTGGCAATACACATCACGATGTCAAACACACATATGCTCTGAACCAGTAAGTCAGTCTTAGGAATTTACTTACAAATAGACACAAACACACATGCAAAACAACTGTGTACAAGGTTATTTGCTGTAACACTATGCTGCCATAGCTAAAACCTGCAAACACCTAAACAGGCCTTACTAAGGGACTCACGGGAATACCGTGTAGTCACAGAAAAAAGCATGCTACAAACGGAATCATCTCCAAGATAAATCTGGGGACAAAAAGCAAGGAAGGGGGGTAACAGGATTCACGGTGCGCTAACGTGTGTGGAGGGCAGAGGGAACACAGGGTGTGCGTGGCGTGTGCAAGCATAAATCTGCGAAGGACGGCCACCTTCAAAGAGGGAACAGAGTTCTTCGATGGGGTAGAAGAGAGATCTCTCCCTGTAAACCTGGCTGTGCCTTTTAAATTCTGAAGCATGAAGGGGCGCCTGGGTGGCTTAGTCGGTTAAGCATGCGACTTTCACTTGGGTCGTGATCTCACGGTTCGTGGGTTCGAGCCCCGCGTCGGGCTCTGTGCTGACTGCCAGCTCAGAGCCTGGAGCCTGTTTCAGTCTGTGACTCCCTCTCTCTCTGACCCTCCCCTGCTCACGCTGTCTCTCTCTCTCTCTCCTAGAAATAAATTAAAAAACATTAAAAAAAAAAATCCACATATTAAATTCTGAAGCATGAAGGTGTAAGACCTATTCAAAAAATTAAAAGTTTTCTTTTTTCTTTTTTGCAAGAAACGGAATAAAATCCATTTGGTTCCCAATGAGCAAAGTTCACATTTTAACATGTGTGCAAATAGTAGAAATGTGCAGCTAACAGGCTAAAAATAGCAGAGTTATCCATCCTCTGCTGGTTTCCAGGTCACCGAGGGCGGAAAGGCCACCAGCAGCGCTTTGCCGCCGCTGCCATGGCGCTCCTGGCCGCGTTAGTGCAGCCACCGCCTCCAATCTGCACGGAACGGAAGGAGGCACTCCCTTCAGGAATCACTTGCTTCTCTACGTCCCTAAGTGGCACGTTTCTCCCGAGCATATTCACACCAGGTTTTTACCTCCTTGAGTAAACTCTCAGAGTGTAAAAGCAGGTGTGCCACGCTGTGTAATCGTGAAAACCACCGTGTGAAAGGACAGCATGGCCCAGACAAGAGGCCAAACGAGTTCAAAAGCCTGAATCCCGAGGACTATCCAGTGGAGCTGGAGCGACAGTGAACACCGGGGGACTCTGCTAATCCTTGGGCCCAAGAGGGTGAGCAGCAGCCCCACGTCCCCAGCCGAGGACTCATCACAAAGGACCTGCTAGGCCAGAACTGCAACATGGGGACCATAGCCATTGGGATTCGGGGAGCCTACCTGGGGAAGGCAAATATGGCTCGGCTCTGGTGGGCCGGGAGGAGCCTTCTCCAAGGACGGCACCCCTCATCCGAGATGAGGGGTAAGGCACACAGGGGTTGCACCACAGGCCGCCAAGTGGTTGTGGCTTGCTTCCTCTCTCCCCCGTTCTAAAAGTCATTTCTTACTTCCCTAAAATCAACATCCTCAGTCTAGCTGTTTAATTTCACTTTAGTGTTGGACTTCTGACAGACCAAGGGGCTCAGACGGACTGGCGGTGCCGTGTGCCAGGCGCTGTGAGCTGTGAGCTGCTGCAAGAAGCTTCCAGTTGGTGCCAGGATAACACCTTATTGCCAAGGCAGGATTTACACATTACGGAGGACCTCACATCTTAAGTAACTGTCTGAATTCATGTAATTATTGCTGGTCTAGAATGTTCTTTAGGTAGAGACCAAATACTAGGCACTACGGTAGTTCTGAGAACAAAGAAAAATGGTACGTCCACATTTTCCTAATAAAACCCCAAGAAGAGGATCCGACGATTTGGGGGAAACACCACCCACACTGCGGAAATGGTCATTAAAGGGACGAGAAGCTTATGCAGGCAGGGCGCGGACGCCATGGCTTTTGCATTACTCAAGGCTACCATGACCTCCATGAGGGGAAGGGAGAGAGACAGGATATGTTCCAGGTCAGACCCCCAATTCGTTATTCAACACGGGCTTTTCTGCTCGCTCTCCTCCTAGTGCCAAAATCAAGTTTGTTTATGTTAAATCCAAATTTAGCACAGATCTGGGCCCTCCCCTCTTACCACAGAACCACCCCCACCGTATAAATGCGGCGGCTCACGTACAGCTGAGCATGGCGAGCAGCTCGTGTACATGGCCCTCCAGGTTGGCTGAGCATTGCGCAGGACACCTGGCACGCGGCTGCCCAATTAACACCGACTTAGGTCTGTTTTCACTCAGGCGTTACTCTTAACTCCAGGTGAGAAAATCTTCGGCGGAAGGAAGGAAACGTAGGATGGAAACCTTCCCTCCATATGGACTGGATGATGCCACTGAATTCATTTTCATCATTTTCACTTATATGATAGGCCAGAAACCGAGCTCAGATTTCCAGCAGCGAACACCTTACTTCAGTGAAGGCTTAGGAGCAGTGACAAGAAACCCTGGCCTTGATGTCGGCCCTGGGGTCTGAGTCACAGCTTCTCAGCTCTGAGGTCAGGGCGAGTCGGTGCACTGCTCTAAGCCTCTACTGGCTTTTTGGTAACGGGGACAAGAATCCTGTCTACCCATTCTGCAAGGCTGCAGCGAGGTTTCGAACTGGAAGGCCCACAGGAAGCTCTGAGTGAACGGGAGGTGCCGACATCACCACCGTTGGTTTAGATCGGACCCAGAGATTCTAAGAACAGAGAATAAAGCAACTGGACTGAAAAGCTCACCAGTTTCTGAACTTCGAATTCAGCGGCGATCTGCCAGTAGCCCTCGTCATTGGGGCGCAACATCACAACATCAAAAGCGGAAGCCGTGGCAACGGTCGCATCCTCCTGGCTGAGGGCCAGCGCCTGTATTCTTGCGTCGTGCTCAAAACGGTGGATGGGATACTTTCCGGTCCGTAGATCCCAAATATTAAGAAATCCTATGGAGAGAAAAACAATGCAGGTCATTTTAAATTCACTTAAGACGCACAATTATAAAGTAATCGCGCAATTTAAAGTTAAAAGGTAAACGATACATTGGTATCGCATATAACAAATGGACAGTGTTCTTAATAAAGAGTTTCTAAGATCCAGGAAGGAAAAAAAGCAATTGGGAAGTGAGCAAAGGCCAAGGGCATGCTGGTCACAGTAAAAGAAATACAACTGACATATAAACCCAAGAAAAATGCAAAACCTCACTCACAATTAGAAAAATACAGAAATGGTAACAGAATATTATTTTTCATTAATCAAATTGACAAAGATGAAAAATTTCATAAAACATTCTGCTGTTGAGGATATGGGGAAATAGGCTTTTAAAAAAAGGTTTATTTCTTCTGGGGGGGAGGTGGGCAGAGAGGCAGAGGAGCAGCCAGAGACAATCCCAAGCAGGCTCTGTGCTATCAGTGCAGAGCCCAACATGGGGTTCGATCTCACAACCAAACCATGAGATCATGACCTGAGCCAAAATGGAGTCAGACGCTTAACCAATTGAGCCCCCTGGCACCCTAGGCTCTATCTTAAATTGTTGGTGGAGATGTAAACTAATTCACCCAACTTTGGAGCCAATTTGACAACATTTATCAGATTACAAATGTCTGCAGTATAGTCACTGAAATGTTTTTAATTACGTCAAAAGATCAGAAGCTATCTAAATGTGCAGCACAGTTTGGAATTCAAATAAAATGAGCAGTTAAAAAAGACTGAGCCTTACACATAAGCTGTATGAGAAATCAACAAAATATAGTATTAAATGAAAAAAGTGAAGGATAGAGTAGTGGTATATAGCACGTTATACTACTTTTGTGTTTTAAAAAATGTACACACCCGTATACGCAGGCTATCCTTGCTTGCGGAAGGACACACAACAAACTGGTGCCAGTGCGTGGCCTTGAAGGAAAGAAGCCAAAGAGAAGGGACGAGAGTAGAAGGCATTTTACTGCATATCCTCTTGTATATTCTGAATTTTTTCCCCAACATTATTTTTACTAAAAAGATAAATTTTAGAAAATGTTTCTGTGAGAGAGACTTAACAACAGGACACAAATTGCTGGATATTCTGAACATACGGAGTTCTTAATTCATTCTCCTAATTGTCCATTCATGTGACAGATAACTTTTCCCGGTTTTACTGATCTGGTTAACATGTAAGTTTAAGTTGTGCAGCACAAAGATTTGATATATGCACATACTGTAAAATGCTTCCCACAGTACTTAGTGAACACCCATCACCTCACATAGTTAACGAATTTCTTTTTTTCTTAGAATGAGAACTTTTAAAAAATCTATTCTCTTAGCAACTTTCCAATGCACAGGGGGGCAGTATTAACTGTGGTTGTCATGCTGGAGGTTGGATCCCCAGAACTTATTTCTCTTCTAACTGGAAGTTTGGACACCTTTTGATCATCTTTGCTGATTTTTTCCTATACCTCCATCCCCAGGAATCACAAATCTGTTCTCTTGTTTCTGAGGAGTTTTTCGTTTTTTTTTTTAGATTCCTTGCATAAGTGAGATCATATGGTATTTATTTTTCCTCTGACTTATTTCACTTAGCACAACGCCCTCAAGTTTCACCCATGTTGTTGCCAATAGCAGGATTTCCTTCTTTTCGTGGCTGAATAGTACTCCATTGTACGTGTATGCCACATTTTCTTTATCCATCCACCGTCAGTGGGCGCTTAGGTTGTTTCCGTGTCTTGGCCCTGGTGACTAATGCTGCAGTGAACATGGGGGTGCAGACAGCTCTTTGGGACAGTGATTTCATCTCTTTTGGACATATACCCAGAAGTAGAATTACTGGACCATACAGCAGAGTTCTAGATTCCATTTTTTGAGGAACCTCCATACTGTTTTCCAGTGGCTGCACAAACTTATATTCCCACTGACAGTGCACGAGGGGTCCTTTCTATCCACATCCACACCAGCACTTGTCATCCCTGGTCTTTGATGACCACCATTCTAACAGGTGTGAGAGATCATGCAAAAAATTATTGAGCATGTTATATACAGGGCACCATTCTAGATGCTAGCAAGGTCTGGAAACTGCCACTAACTTGTAATTTACATACAAGTATTTTACATCCTTCCTCACACCACCCTCTTCCAGCTGCAGTGAGCACGGATGCTTTGTTTTGTCTTGTTATAAAACACGAACTTAACAATCCCACACTTGATAAAAACCTTGATTTACCTATACACTCTCTCCAGCTCCCTGCATGCTGCTACCCGGAGGAATTCCTCTTACACACACACTGGCCGTGTCTCCACCTTTCTCAAATGGTCACAGCAGTGATACCCAAGTGTGGATCTCAGCCCAGCAGCCCCAGCAGCTGTAGCCTCACCAGGGGCCTTGTTAGAAGTACAAACTTTTGGGCAACAGAAACTCTGGAGATACATGTTCAACTGTGAGAACCAGTCTGTCTACAGGAACTTACACTCTTCTATCAGAAATAGAAACTTTTATTTTATCTAAAGATTTATTCGTCTTTTCTTGCCCCCCAAAAATTCTTATCATTCTTAGCCACTTCTTTCCCTGCAAAATGTACCCAAGAAAATGATTACTGTCGACATCATACTGGATAATGTCCTGCTTCAATTCCCACTGGTTTTTCAAAGTTCCCTGGGAAACGACTGTATGGAAATAACAGTGTATGGTTATTTGAGTTCCAGTCCAGCTCTACCACTTGCTAGCCGAGGGCCCTGGGCAAGTCGCGAGCCTGTCTCTTTATCTGTAAAGCTGAAGGCAACAGGACAGTTGCACAGATGAAACGGGGACAGCCACACAAAAGGCTGGAAGCAGACCAGCCGTTTTTACCTTTTACGTGTTTTATAAGACCTGCCATGTTGTAAAGTGTTATTTATAATCTATTAATAATGCAAATTCCCTCTACTGCTCATCCAAAAACCTAGTCCTACTTCCTACAACTTCCTATTACCTAAAACAGATAAAGCTTTTTCACGTTTCTTCTCTTTGCAATCCAAGTGCTTTGAACTTGGGATCTCATCATAAGGCATCATTCAGTACTAGATACATACACAGAAGCGACTAATGCATTTGGGCTGCTTTGCGAGACTTTTAAACCGCCAGCAGGCCAAGTAGGTAATTACAAACGGAAGCAGAGCTTTCTTCAAGTTAAATGTGGCATCGGACGTAAAACAGCATAAAACAGCGTTCTTTTCTAAGAACTGCGATAAACTAAGGCGGGGGGGGCGGGGGAGCAAATCACAAACGGCTCCACGACACATTCCCCTGGCAAATCTTTTGGCAAACTCTCTTCACTCTGACTCAGAAGAAACAGAGAGGCTGCACAAAATGCCGAGTACACATGAAAACAGGAGAGCGTATTCCAAGATGTGCCTCCTCCAGATACTTCTGCATTATGTTTGCTTGCCTTTGTTCAGAGATGTCACAATAAACAGTAATGGGAAATAAAATTTGCAATTTTCATAGAGCTTCTGAGTAGTGAGACATTTTCATTTGTCTCCTCTCATTGAGCGCTCACTTTCATTTTGGGAGGAACATCATTATCCTCATTTCACAAAAGAGAACAGAAGCTCCAAGTGGTTAAACAACTGGTCCGAAGCCACTTGGTATGTGATGAGGCTGGGCTGCAACTAGGCTGGGAAAGTGCAGGATGTGCGGCTGCCTCTCCAAGTGCATAAAATAACCATGGGCTCCACGAGCAAATGACGTAAACTTGCCTGGATTCTGCCAAATGAGGAAGTTACTCAACCACGGCTCACTCTAAGCACACATGGAGTTTATCTATAAACACATTTTTCGTTATTAATCAACTACTCGGTTTTGTCGGCATCATTATTCCAACAGAATCTTATGCAATAAAATACCCTTTGCTGCAAGGTTGAGTTCCACAGAGCTGTTCTAAGAAAGGTCTTTTTAGAAAATACATCCTAGGGTTCCCTCAACTTAACGGCCACATTCTTTTCTGGGCGCCTACAGCGTCGTCCTCTGTGTCAATTCTCTCTACTCCTTTCAACCACTCAGCATATAAAACCTGGTCAGACTGTCCTTGTTGACGGCACAGTCCCCCAAGACCTCTTTTAGACGTGTGAACATTTACGACTGTAATGTCCTCTGACGAAGCGACCCTTTGTTGAATGCAATGTCCCTCTTTACCCCTGGTTATGTTCTTTGCTCTGAGATCTTTGTCCGCTGTGGATGCAGGCGTTGCAGCTTTCTCCCGATCAGTGTTAGCACTGCCTGTATTGTTCTGTCCTTTCTCTTTGCCTTGTGTCTTCATATTTGAAATGAGTTTCCTGTAGACAGCATACATAGCTGGGCTTGCTTTTAACTCGAGTGTTTAGACTATTTCCCTTTAACGTGGTTACAGGCAGGAATGGGTTTTACCTGCCATTTTGTGCTATTTGTCCCATTTGTTTTGTGTTCCCTTTTTCTCTTTTTCCGCCTTTTTTTTGGATGGAGTATTTGCATTAACGGAGTATGTGTTTATTCCATTTAAGTCCCCTTGTTGGCTCCTTAGCCCAAACTCTTTGTTGTGTTATTCTAGTGGCTACCTTAGGATTTTAGCATTTGCCTTTAATTTGCCGATCTACCCTCCAGTGATACTGCCGGCTTTACAGGAAGCGTGAGGGCTTCACTGCCACACGCGTCCATTTCCTGGCCCCCAGCCTTCGTGCCATGTGGTCAGGCTTTTCATTTCTGTGTGTGTTTTGAACCCCATGTATGTTATCACTTTTGCATGAGCAGACAATTACCTTTAAAAAAGACATAAATAGTAAGGGGAAAAAAAAAAAAAGCCCTGGGTACCTACCCATGTATTTACTACATTTAGTGCTCTTCCAATTATCACTTTTAACATTAAGTCCTACAACTTTTGCAAGATTTGCAATTTCACTTTGCGACTGTGCTGCTGGCCCCAAAAACACCTGGGCGAGGTGGGCAGGAAAAGACACAGCAGCG